TCGAGAGTCCCATCATATTCAAAGGAACAAGGATCTCCCAAGACATGAAGATCTAAATTGCCAGTCAACCCTATTAAACCTTTTGGGCTTGCAGTGCAAGAGCTTGAAGACTTGGGGTTTTCAGTGGTGAGCAAGGTGGAGGGAAGGCAACATCCTGAACAAACAACTCTTCAAGGACCAAAGAACCTAGTGGCTTTTCCCTCCAATGGAAACTATGGTCCATTTTGAACCATATCTGCACATCATAGGGCAGATGCACATACCTCCTCCATAAAGGGTACTGAGACACAATCCAATTTGTGACTGCAAAACTATGGAACATCTTGTAAATCAAATAGTGTTCCAAGTAATCATGTCCTGGCCATATCTCTGCCATCCATTCTGTAAGTCCTGAAGCAGTCAATTGGATTGCCATCACAGACTTGAACATATAACATTGCTGGTGTTAAGTGTTATGAAAGAAGTGGCTTTTTCCCCAGTAAAAGTATATGGCCAATTCTAACAAAAGAGTGTATAAATTGAATATTAAGAGCTTAAAAGCTTTGGAAGGATTCATTTCTGGGCAACCATTTTCCTATATAAAAATCACTCAAACAGAACTAGGGCAGAGTAGCTTAGTTCTAGGCAGTTATTAAGATGGGCACCATTGTAAATGCCATAGTTAAGGCTGTATACTGACTTCCATTATAATGCCCTGTTTTCATCTGCCTGCAATGTTCTCATTTAGTTTGCTTTGGAGTTGAAACATTCCATGCTTTGTTTGAGTGCAAAAGCTCCTCAGAAAGGATGAAGTAAAGTCATTCAGCAGCTTTTTAGTTACCTAAGTGAGTAATTTATATACTAATGCTCTTATAAAAAATTGAGGGTTTTGCACATGCATTAGTCCAAATGCTAAATCATTAAATATGGCTAGGTTTTAGGAATAATCTAGATAATAGGAATAATCAAGTAAATCTCTTAAATATGAAGATCTGAGTAAGGCTACAATTTTGTTACAGACATCAAGGTGGTCACAAAAACTGTGAATTTTAATAAAGTCAGTAAAATACTCCCAAACCCAGTAGCGTTGTGACCTAACGCCACACCACCATTCAGGTTTGCTATGTCCACCCCTCCGTAGATGGAGATGGAGGAGCGGGAGACAAATTTGTGCAGTGTTGCAACCCCATGTGCTATGTTGCAATGCAAATCCAATTTGGTCCTCAGCCCCCTCCATTTCCATCACAGGAGGAGCATACAGGCCAACCTGAGTGGTGCTGTGATCCCATGTGCTGGGTCATAATGCCCAGAGCAGGGAGCCAGGTCCAACCCCAGGGGACAAGAGCCAGTACTGCAGGGTGAGCTCGTTCTCAAACACTGTATGCCCCTATGATTATCAATGGTTCACAGTCATGCTGAAAGGGCATAATGAGTGGGGTCCCGCAGGGATCAGTTCTGGGTTCGGTTCTGTTCAATATCTTCATCAATGATGTAGATAATGGCATACAGTACACTTATAAAGTTTGCAGACAATACCAAGCTGGAAGGGGTTGCAAGTATTTTGGAGATAGGATTATAATTCAAAATGATCTGGACAAACTGGAGAAATGGTATGAAGTAAATAGCATGAAATTCAATAAGGACAAATGCAAAGTACTCCACTTAGGAAGGAACAATTAGTTGCACACACACAAAATGGGAAATCTCTGCCTAGGAAGGAGTAGTACAGAAAAGGATCTGAGGGTCATAGTGCACCACAAACTAAATGAGAGGCAACAGTGTAACAATGTTGCAAAAAAAGCTACCATCATTCTGGGATGTATTAGCAGGAGTGTTGTAAGCAAGACATGAGAAGTAATTCTTCTGCTCTACTCCGTGCTGATTAGGCCTCAACTGGAGAATTGTGTCCAGTTCTGGACACCACATTTCAAGAAAGATGTGGACAAATTGGAGAAAGTCCAGAGAACAGCAACTTAAATGATTAAAGGTGTAGAAAACCTGGAGGGAAGATTGAAAAAAATTGGGTTTGTTTAGTCTGAAGAAGAGAAGACAAAGGGCACATGATAAGTTTTCAAGTACATAAAAGGTTGTTACAAGGAGGAGGGAGGAGAATTGTTCTTAACCTCTGAGGATAGGACAAAAAGCAATGGGCTTAAATTGCAGCAAGGGAGCTTTAGGTTGGACGTTAGGAAAAACTTCCTAACTGTCAGGGTGGTTAAGCACTGGAATAAGTTGCCGACGGAGGTTGTGGAATCTCCATCATTGAAGATTTTTAAGAGCAGGCTGGACAAACACCTGTCAAGGATGGTCTAGATAATACTTAGTCCTGTGATGAGTGCAGGGGAATGGACTAGATGACCTCTCAAGGTCCATTCCAGACCTATGATTCTATACCGCCTTCCCCCCCCACACACTCCTCCGCTTTCCCTGACAAAGATTTCATAGCAGGGAAAATGGCTATTAAAAATGTCCATGACAAAATTATAGCCCTACTTATGAGCCATTAAAAAGGGATTTGGGTAGATAATATGCACAGAGAGTTACTAAGCGCTGGTCTACACTGGGAACTTACATTGGCATAGCTATGTCTCCCAGGTAAGTGAAAAATTCACACACACACACCCCGCGCAAGACGTAGCTATGCCAACCTAACCCCCGGTGAAGACAGTGCTAGGTCAATGGAAGAATTCTTCCACCAAACTAGCTACCATCTCTCGGGGAGGTGGATGACCTATGCGAAAATCCTTCCAGTCAGCATAGGTAATGTTTACACTGAAGCACTACAGCCATATAGCTGCAGCAACAGTTTAAGTGAAGACACTGTAAATTTCCTATTAAAGTTATGCAACTCTATAGAGCCCCAGTTACTGCCAAATAAATGTGTAACTAGCGAGTGATTGCATTTAAAATAGATTTTGGCAAACAATTTCCCAAATCTATCAAAAACTAAGTTCTATAAAAAAAAAAAGAAAAGCAAAATGCAAAACAAATTAAACTACAACATACAATTTTAAGGAAGTCACGTAATACAAATATTAAGGCAATGTTTAGTAACATTTTTGCTTACTCGTCAGACTGTTAAACATTAACCTGAATATGCTGTGTTGTGAGAGTTGATTGTTTGTAGTGTTGTATTGGGCCCAGGTTATGATAGAGAGAAGGTGGGTGAGGTAATATCTTTTATTGGACCAACTTCTGTTGGTAGACGAGACAAGCTTTTGAGCTTTTCAGAGCTCTTCTTCAGATTTGGAAAAGGTAACCAGATTGTCACAATTAAATACAAGGTGGGACAGATTAAGAATAAAGGGTTAACACATGTTGCAAGAAACCACTTAACATGAAGGGGTAATTTACACTTCTGCATCATAGGACAAAGAGAGGTTAGTAGGTTACAAATTGTTGGAATGAGGCATAAAACTAGCAAGTCTGTCAAGACCTTCTCTCTCAGAGGGCAGGTCTACACTTAAAAACCTGCACCACTGCAGCACTTTAGTAAAGCTTCTCCTTGGCCAGTGGGAGCCCACATAGTGCTGTCTACACTGGGGGTTAGATCAGTATAACTGCATCTCTCAGGGGTATGGATTTTTCACACCCCTGATTGATGTAGTTATACCAATGTAAATTTATAGTGTAGACCTGGCCTGAGTTAAGATTCTCAGTGGCATTAACTTTTTTGCATTTCCTGACTTGTTTATATTTATATGAACATTGCATTTATTATGCTTTAATAAGGCTTTATAATTAAAAATTTAAGTGAATTGATCAGGACTCTAATATTTGGACCCTTAAATTGAATAGCATCATCTTACTGTATGCAAGTCAACCAAACATTGGTCTGTCCAACTCATTTTTCCCCACCCAGTTGCCACATACTGAAGCAGGTGATCTTTTGAGTTAAAGAATAATCAAAACAAGTTCAGAGTGTGTTAACTGCTTGAAAAGTCATTTACCATGCAGGTCAGAAGAGCAATGCACTTTTACAGTGGGTGCGTGGTTAGGAAATAGAATTGTGCCCCACCTTGAAGCTTCCTCTTTTGGGTCTTTACGCCCAGACCACCTCAGGAATTAACACTGCTCCCTCTGGAACTTAGTATTTTAGGAGTCCACAAGAACCATTCATTCTTAGCAATGAAAGGGGATTCTTCCCTCCTTTCCTGTTGCCAATCCTGGTCTAATTCACTCTTGTCATGCTAGAATAGTTTTTGCTCAAGAAATGAGTAACTCATTAACATTAGCGATGGACATGAATGGAAAGAATTACCTTAACCCTGATGCTACAGGACTACATTTTTCTGTTTTATGCAGTTTGTTTTTTTTAAATGGTCTAAGCAGCAAGTACTCCTCCACTTCCTTTGCTGGGGCTGCACCATGTGTGTTCACCCAGTACTGTTCCTTATTATGCCAAAGTACGTCTTTGCCCTCTTCAGATACTTGTATATAGCAAGGTTTCTCCCCTCATTCCATTTGGTAATATAGCTAAGCTAGACTGTGTTCTTTTACATTTTTTATGTCAGTCCGTCACTTCTTCCATCCCTTTAATCATTTGTGTTTTACTTCAATTTTCACTAGTTTGCCAACATTTTTCTGGTATTGAGGTGCCTTGAATTAGTTCTGCTGAATACTGCAGCTGGAGATTGGCTATGATAGTCCTGCTCTGCCTTACACGCTCTTGCAACTCCAGTTGGAAGAATCACTTAGCTTCATTAAATCTCCTCTTTGCAATCCTAAAACAATGTTTAGCTGGGTGTATTAATGTATGTTCTTAGGGTAGACTTTGGTATTACATTAATTAATTCAGTAGTTATTTGATAGTATCTATAGTGCACACAAAGCTTCCAGTTTGGATGGGATCCAAAGGCCATTGGAGTCTTTCTATTAAGTTCAATGAGCTTTGTAGGACCTAATCCTGCACACTCTGGCAACTAGTCCTCACTGAAGTTGATGGAGTTGCTTGCATGAGTAAAGACTACTCATAGGAGTAGCAGTTAAGACCTACATTGTTTTCAAAAAGGATTAATAAATTAAACATCATTAGAAAGTGTTTTATTCATATCTTACAAAACAAGCTCCACAACATGAACTACACTAGATATAGTCAAGTTATTTCAGAATTAAACTTTGTTTTCTAAAAACAGCATCACTACACGATAAAACTTGTTTTACAACTAACTCAAGTCTCATCTTTTGCATACAAAATATGCTCTTTACATTGAAATACACATTATTAACAAAGCAGGAACTAGAAGCACATACGCTAAGATTGCTCAGTGAAAAATGCCTCAGCAGGGAATTGTTTTTTCTGCAACAGAACATCTGTTGGCTATGTATTTTCACAGAAACTTAAACTGATGGGAAACTTGCCAGTGACATTCCCTTTGTCAAGGAAAAAAAATCCATAACAAAAGCATGGCCAACGTAGTTCAGATTCTGCTATGAAACAATGTCAGAACATGTCTTTTCCAGAACGGAGAGCTGTATGTTAAAATACAAATACAATTTTATGCAAAAGTCATCTGAAGCAAAACATTGCATTTGCAAAAATCAAATTATTCCATTAGTTGCTTCACAGTTTATTTTAAATATTAACTGAGATCATTAATCTCCTGCCAACATCTTCAATCCAATATTTGACTGATCGCTGAACAGAAAATCCTCAGAATCAGACATCTGTATTAAGAGTACGATAAATAGTGCATGTTAAAAATTGTCCAACAGATCTATAAAATATTCTATATCAATAAAAACAAAGTAACACAAAGCGAATGTTTTCCAAATATAGAACTTAAGCTGTGGAAAAGTTTCAACTCATATCCTGAACTGTCCTTGTTAATACAAGTTAAAAGCTAAACAGCTCCTTATAAAATATTATAAGGGTTTGTTTTTAAAGTTAGTGCAGATTAGCACATTTAGAACTCACTATGAAACAATTTTACTAATCTAGGGCCTGATCCTACAAATCCTTACTGACAAGTATTTCCTATTGACTTTGTAAGAACAAGGCCTACTTGTGAGAATAAAAGTTTGCAGGATCACAACCATAAACAGCTTTGCAATACTAATTGTGCTCTTTATTTTAAATTCTAGTAAATATTACAATATATACAATTTTAGTACAAAATTATGAAAAACTACAATTTTAATAATCAAAACTGAAAATGCACCTTCCAAACGTACTTAGTAGTCAGAAGGAAATAAGTGTAATCAAATAACTGTTTGGCACAACAGAAAACACAGTAATATGCTCTTTATTGTTAACCAACCTAAGGTCCCAATCCTGAAATTGTGTCTGCCTAGAGCACCAGTGAAGTTAATGGGGTCCACCCCACAGACCCTGTTGTAGGAGCAGGGCTTGAATGCCAAATCCTGCTGAGTATTTCCATTGCTGTCAATGGGGCTACTTGCATGAGACAAGCAGTATCTGGCTATAACTGTTATACATTTTTAAGAGTTAAAGCTTGAATTCTCTTCTTTTTAATTTCCTTGGGTACTTTGCTGAAGAGTAAACAATTTACCATTCATTATCCAATAGCACCAAAATATGCTATGCAGGGTCCACAAATTTTCAAAATTTCATACTACCTTTTATTAATCCCCCACTATTTATTGTCATGTAGGCCATCTCCCAATGAAGGCCCCCTTTGCGATTGGGCTAGGCAGGCTTCCTCTTATTTCTAGCTACTTCTGTGGGTATCCTGGCTCTTCATTGTGGCCCATGGACCAGGTTGGGAACCATTTTGCTAGAATTCCAAGGCATGTTTTCTATATACGTGTTGATTCAAGTACTGAATGGTTACAGGGACTACCAATGCAAACTCTAGGCCTAAGCATCAGAACAAGAATAATGAAGGGAAGGATAAAAAATCTCTAAAAATTCTGTAGGATTTGGAGTGATCATTTTGCCACTGACTTCAAAGGGAGTGGGCTCACACACCAATTGTTTGTATATTTTCGATCAGCAGGCAGTTGCGATGTGCAACTTCTACTACCCAATCTTCAGCCTAATGTATGACAAGTGCTACTACAATTCCAACTGAGAATATCTGGTTAAAAACTAAACAGATTTAATGGCTTCCCCAAAGTTCCAAAAGCCTCAAGAAAAACAACTAGTTTAGGTTATTTGGTATAGCATAGTATCAAATGTTTTCCTTTGTGGAAACAACTACTAACTTTTCTAAAAGTCTTTAACAGTAACAATTGCATTTTGGTTTAAATATAATACTCATGCTTCAGTTGATGTTAGATTGAACCATAAAGTATGCAGATATCTGACCAATAAAATGACCTATTCAGAATGTATTTTTTCCCCACACACTATTGTTTGTACAAAAAACTCAATTTACACAACCTGTACAAGAGCAACAATCAACCAGATTAAATGCTGAATGAAGTGTAGTGCAATCCTCACAAAGAAAATAGATATTCAAGTGTATGATTTCAGACGTCTAGGTCTCAGTTTATGCACAAGGATAGTGTAAGTGTAGAACTGTTCTGTTTGCGAAGTGTAAGTTTAAAAAAAGCAATTCTAATAAAAGACTAGTTAATATTTATTACATTAAAATGTATAGTAGCTAAACAAATACATTCTCCAAATATTCTTGAGTTTATTTATGCAGAAAGTTATCAAGGGCCTTATATAAAAGCCCACTGAAGTCAATGGATTTGGATCAAGCCTATAGCCACGAAGTTTCATCTCTGATATTAACTAGTGGCAGGGGATTATATGGCCTAATAGACTTTTTCTATCTCTAACTTCTGCAATCATAAATACTATACTCAATCAGCCACCGCAAGTTACATACAATAGCCAATGAGTTGTGTAGGTAAGGATGAAAAATAGTCTCATGCTAGACAAATTTGTAGAGCCATGCACTCATGTTCCAAATTTCTGATTAAATAATGGAGTGAAAGAAAAACTCCCAATACCACAAGTCTTCTTTCTCCAAGGGCCTGATCCAAAGCCCACTGAAGTAAACAAAAGTCTTTCAGTTGACTTCAATAGATTTTTGGATCTTGCTCCAGGACAACAGAAGTTTTTGGATAGACCCCCTACATCTGACATTCAGATGAAGCCCCCAAAATGTTAAGGAAGTAAATTTTGTACCTATTTCCCACAAAACATTCACTCTTATCTTGTATGTCCATGTTCGCTTGTGTAGTAAAAAAACAAAACAAAACTCGTCTTGCAACAAGTAGTACAAAATGAAATAAAATCAAAGTGAATTGCAAAATACAGAGAAAGTTAAGTTATTCACTTTTCTGAAACATGACAAATTCAGGTGTTGTAATACCCAGCGCTTTCATGGAACTTTGCTAGGATGTTTTATTCAGGTTTTTATTAAAGTGCCCATCCATTAGCCTAGGTGCTTTTACAATGATCAAGATTTAAAATATAAAAAATAGTTAACCCATACAGTGGACGGCATGCACATCTTCAGACAGTATTTGCCAGTCACAGTATTAATCACAGCTCCACATTGTAGCCACCAATATTCCTCTGCCTATCTTCCCCCACAAACAGTGGAGGAAAAAAAAGATGGCCTTTCAAACAGGTCCAGAAGGTTAAAAAACCGAGGCTCTAGTAGACCAGGAACAAAGACAATTCCACGTTAGCTGCAGTTTATATAGACTAGAATGTGTAACTTTCAAACATATAGGCAACCTAGCAAGACAGTTAAAATACATTGTTTTTCTTTTTAAAAAAGTAATTAAAATATGGCCTCTAGTTTTCAATTTATGTATTTAATAACCTTTAAGTGGGAATGTCTTGACAGTTTTTAAAAAGAAAACTGTCCTCATGCAAAGTTGTCTATTTTCTATTTCTCATTTAACATCTTTTACCAAAGTCTCATTCATAGTGTGTGTGTGTGTGTATATATTTTAAAAGGTACCTTCTAGTTTTTTTCATATCTAGAAAACTGCTCTAGTTTTTCTTTTTAAAGAAAAAGATTAAAGGCCTAGCATAAAAAGACTTTAGAATTCACTAAAAATTTGATATCTTGATCAGATGAAACTGACAAATTTTAAATTCAAATTGTTTGTATGCATGAAAGTTTATTCTTTAACTCACAGCAAAGATTTTATTCAGTTTGGTAAGCAGTTAGTTTATAAGCAGAAATATGGTTTTCATATGAACCATACATTTCATTGTATTAACAACTTTTACTATATTTTAGGTACCAAGACCTCTTATCTTGTTTAATATCTCGGCTCTCTGTGAGCTGAGGGGTGAAAACATTATCTAGTCTGATGAACTGCAACCTATGTTTAAGGACACAATCTGGATTGGCATTTGTAGAATGTTTTTCTGGATCTTAAGTGCAAATAACTTAAATGTAACAAACATAAAACATGTTACTGCACGCCAATCCTCAACTTTTTATTTTAAACAGTGACAAAAAACTACCACCTCCATGACTCAAACATCCCTGGCATATTATATGACAACATGGAAAGAATTTTGCCTCCATTGTCAAGTTGTTTATTGGACTTCTTGTTGGGGATGAGCAAGGTCTCCTTCAGCAAGTATAAAACATATGTTAAAAAAACTAAATGAAAGCACGTTGTCAGTCAATGTTGGTTATGTTGACCTCTTGCAAAATGGCAAGCAAAGTCATACTTATTTTTACATTTGCACCCACATATGTTGCACTGAAACGGATTTTCAAACCCATGACATCCCATGTGAATAGTATAAAGGATATTGTCTGCAAAATACATGTCACAGTGCTGGCAGTGATGCAGAAGCTGAGGATCCTGAACTGGAAGGGTTGGAGCTGGAGTACTTGGCTGACTGTTACTTATGCTAGGAGTACTAGTATGGACGCTGCGATCACTGCTTGGACCTGCCACTGGACTGTAGTTCCTTTGACTGTGTGGGGGCCGAGGATCTGGGCTAGTAGGAGATGAACTTTGAGGAATATTTGTTGACACAGATGAAACTACTGCTGGTGCAGCAGGCTGCTGTATTATAAAAGGCTTTTCATCTTGGCATGGTACAACATCAGGAGATGCTGGGTTTTGGGTTTCAGGTGGCAAGCTAGACAACTGTCCTGCTAATGTTGATAGCTGATTTAATGGATTGTCTATCTTAAGGTCTTGTGGATCTCTCGGCAGGCCACCAGTCTGTGTTGTTTTTGTCATGCTTTCATATGCTTCAGTCTGAATATTTGGGATTTCATGGGTGAAATCATTAAGGTAGTCTGGTTTCTGAACCACCATGGAAGGCGGGCTCAAATTAATTAATGATCTTCTGCTGTATCCCAGATTGCTGGTCTTCTTCTGCAAAACCCCCCACATTTTCTTGCTGCTTAGGGAAGACCTAGTACCTTTTATAGGTACCATTTTATGCTTGCGTCTACGATGATGAGACAGGTTACTTCTGTCACTGCAGCGGAAGGAACACAATTCGCATTTATATGGTTTTTCACCAGTATGTGATCGCATGTGCGCTTCCAGATGACGTTCATAGGCTGATGCAAATGGACATAGATGGCATCTGTGTGGCTTTTCACCTGAAAGAAAGAAAATTATAGTGTAACAATTTATGTATATATGCGGAAAGCGGCCTAACAGAACATGAAAGAGAGTGAATGGTTGTGGGAGCTACTAATTGAATAGAGCATTTCACTTTTTAATCAACAGTTCAAATCCAGTCCAACTCACTGCTAATGGAAGGTTGCAAGGTGTCATAAGTGTTTTCAGTAGGCAAGTGTAAACATTAGAAAAGCCACCACTATTACTACAATTGGCACTAACTGAGACCCGTGTTGGAATGGTGCCAAGATATGAATGGTATGTAGTCTGAATAATACTCTCACACCTCTAGAGGTGCTTTGTCCAAAATGCGTTTGAGGTATATAGGCAAGACAGCATGGCAAAGCTTGTTCAGTTACCTGCCATAGCTTTATTTGTTTTATGAATAACTATGCTTCAGACTGAAGTTTGCAGTGTTATCAGTCTGCCTTTTTGCAAACACCCAGATGGCTTTCAAATTTAAGAAAAATATAAGGTTTTTAGGACCCTCTGGTTAATTTAAAAAATAAAATAAAAAAAGGTAAACTATGCCCCCGGAGAAGTAAGTGCTGTGTCATGGAGATGCAATTCTTGAGACACCCCTAACATCCAGCTCCCGCCATCATGGAGTGGAACTGCACTGGTTACACTGTCTGGGGAGGTTCTGTATTCAGGAGGCTGGAGATAGATTTTGGTTTTTTAATGATGCCACCTGAGCTGTGGTAGAATACCAGATATCATTTAGGCTCTATCCTCACTAATGCATTTAAAGTGTTTGAACAACACTTTTCAAACACGATTACAGGAAACACATTCATAACAGTACAGACGGCGCCTATGATCTTCCTTTAAGATAGAGAGATCCTTCAGAGTTGTTTAGAGGAAACCTATTCATTTGATCCAGAATGTTTTAAAAGCCCAAAGCTTTTAGTGCTTTGTGTTCTGGGAATTGAAACTCCAGATTTATGCTGGTAAAGAGGCTTAATGCCCTGCTGATGCTACTGATATCGCTAACTTCATAACTAGAATTATAGACCAGCTTCCATGCAGATGCTGCTCCATTAATTCTTCTACAAAAAGGGTATAACAGACTCCAGGGTATAGCAGGTCTGACCTCTCTCCTTGGCACTGGGCAGAACAGCCTTAACCTTCTCTCTAAAGAAGTTTCCACCACATAGCAGGTTCCCAAACTGACTTCCAAAAGGAGTTACGCGTCTGCAGGCATCTACCGTTGATCTCACATTGATTCAAGATTGTAGGATGCATGCATCTGCTGTTGAGCTGTCAAACCCTCCCAGATGAGAATTTTTATGTTCATGTTTCTCCCAGGGGATATTTAGTTGGTTTTCTGCCAGAGTTCAAACCAGTATTTGCTCAAGCAGGACTGGTAGATCCTGATATAGAAAAACTGGGAAACAGGCATCTTATTGCTTAGTATCACAGCTTGAGACAGTCAATTGTGAGTCTTTCTTCTAGCCAGACCTGCCTATACCACCAGCTTCAGAAGAGAAGCAAAAGAAAAAGCAGCAGCAGCCCTTGATGCAAGGTACTTTTGTACTATCTTTTCAGAGATTGGCATGTGTCCCCCAACTGGGACTTGATATCTCTGTAATAAGCATACAAATTTATACCAAGATTAAGCAAACAATCATATAAAGACAGGAGGGGACACTGAGTACTGGAACGCCACCCCTGAAAGGTAATTTAACAGCTTTAAAGTAAGAGTTAGGGGAGGTTCCACTGTGAAATGGAAGCGTGGTGGAAAGGAGTGGGGCTCTATTATAACTTGTACTTTTTGGAGAATGGATTTTTCAGTTCACTAACTGATCTTTAGTGTTCAAAAATGCCTTCATTATGATTTTAGCCACCGTGCTTTTCTTGTGTAATTGGCCTACAGGCAGATATTTCAACATTATCTCCTAGTAATAAAATATAATTTCATTTACTAGTGTAAGCATAATATTTACTCAGTTTCTTGGTTTATAATTAGTTTGTGATTGAGACCCTCACAATAAAAAGAGCTATTCTCTAAGATTCAAAATCCTGCCAACATTTACGCATATGCTAAAACTTTACCACCAGGCCTAGTCCCATTGAAATCAATGCAACAACTCATGATAGCAAAGCTAAGCATACACATAAGTGCTTATAAGATTGGGGCCTAAACAAGTATTATGAAAATACAGTATCGCACCTTTTAAAAACGTAAAGAAAAATCTTTAAAAACCCCCACAGACTTAACTTTCCTCAATTGTAAGCAGTCATCACTACGACACTGCTTGAAGATACATGCACACATCTGCAAAGCCTATGAGTGAGTGAGTTCCACATACACTGAACATAGAATACAAAGGTACTGAAACGCTGCCCCACAGCAAAGTACTTGTAGGATCCTTCATACCTGTGTGAATTCTGATATGCTCTATAAGCCGTGCTGTTCCTTTGCTGGCATAGTTGCAATATCGACACTTCAGCTTTCCATCAAATGTCCTTTCAAACCCATCCACTAACATTCCTGAGTTTTCATCCAGTGAAACTTCAACAGAAGGATGATCTAGTCCATTCTGATCACCATCTGCCCCAGCTATAAACAGTAAATGCAGTAGAGATTCTGACTGAGAATCACTGGGTTGTTGCTTTGTTACAGTGACACTAGTCCAAACTTGTTAGCTCCTTATTCCCTTAGCCCCCACACAAAAATAAACTAATGAGAAATAAGTTTTGATGAAAAAGATGTTTTTTAGAAGACTTCCCCCCCAAAAGGTTCTACAGCTTTACAGACTAGTATAGTAGCCTTCATAATAAGCATGTTAAAATGCAAACATCAGCACAGTCATCCCCCCAAAAAACTAGAATACTTGACAGCACTGAAGAGAGCCTACCTCCCTGAAGGGCATCTGCATCATTGTCTCCACTAACAGATCCAGAAATCATATTTACATGGTGTGTCTGTTGAGTAAGATATTCCTGAAAATCTTTTACGAAATCCAGAGGCTCCGGTTTCTTTTCACCCATATTCACACTTTGAGTTTACAATAACTTGTGCCTAGAAAAATCAATCAGAATCAGAGCCCATTTCACTGAATTTGAAACAAAAGAATTCACATTTACAGAAACCACTGTAAATCAAAGATTACATCCCTATAATCTTGTTAAATAAAATGCATATGGTCAAAAGTAAAATACACATGAACAGACAATCATAAGAATATTGTTGAAATCTTTACAGCAGCTCAATACTGTTTAAAGTTTTCAGATAGTCACAGTTGGGAAGATGATTCTCAGCAACAGTATTATAAATACTTTTTAAAATTTAATAAAAGGATTAATAAAAGTCAAAGTTTAGTTGACTATGCGGACATGAGAATAAAATTCAATCTAACCTTACCATTCAGTTCAGAAATATTTGTTAAATAATCTTTACAAAGGTTTAGATTCAAAGAGAACATTTTTTGAAATTCCAGATTTCTTAAATGCTGAGATTTGAAATCTTAGCATGGAAGAAAATTTATTGTAAAGAAGAGGCAATTTTATACTGTAATTGTTCTGTAACTTAGAATTTTATGTTCAGAAATAATATTGCTCATGGACTTAATGTTAGGCACATGCACAGTTATGATTCATGAAATAATGAACCATAACTATGCATCACAGTACATTCAACATTGTCAAGAATGTTAATTACTATCTGGTAAGAAAAGTTATATTTTTATTTATTCAAGTGTCAAATCAGCAACTGAGGGGAACAGATTTCAGAGGATGAGAAATTCCAAGTTTTCAAGCGTCAAATTCGGTGTTCAATGCAATGCATTTTTGATGCATATTTTCTGTTAGTGTTATAAAATCATATAAATTATAGCGGGAACTCATTCATTAAAAAGAGTTCATTACAAAACAACATTTAATCTTAAAATCACTGAGATTTCAAAGTGGTACTGATACTATTACAGTACCATCACTTTCTCAAAGTTTCAAATAACTTGGATACATTTTACTTTTTTTTTGGTAAAGAAACCCATTTTACTTTTTTGTAAAGAAACCCATTTCACATCCAATTGTAAAGCTCATGACTCTTACCAACAATATGAATTGAAGTAAGTGACTCTACCAATCTACTCATCTGTAAATTGGACATAAAAACCCTACCTACATTAGTGGTTTTGTGAGACTAAAGAACTGATTATTTTACTGCATTGGATAACTAAAAAATTCATTTAATGTACATTAAAGAAATTAAGTCTATATGTAAAAATACTTGAAAAGACTTGAAAAATCTTCACTGTCATGAACTGACCAGCTTGGCGATGCCTGAGGCTACCATTTCATTGATTATTCCAGTAGGAAACACAGCTGAATGACACATATCACGACAGGAAAATCAGAGCTGCAGCCAGACAAGAATACAGCAGGAGATTTCTCCAGCTATTTTTAGCTAAATTCTTTAGTTTTTCCCTGGGTTTGTTTTTTTAAAGGTCTACATGAATTGTACCTGAATTTCAGTTTCCTGCTAAGTAGCAAACATACTCCAACCTGTACTCCCAGTAGGTCAGACAGAAAGCAAGGGAGCACAGCTGCCCCACTTTCCCTGGAACAAAAGATAAATAAAAAAATTAGTCTGTCAAACTTATGTTTTCTGATTTCTTAATCAAATCTTTTTTGGCTTCTTGCTTAACCTTCAGAAGAGAGGCTCCCCTGCAACAAATAAAATTCATAGCAGTAGTTCAATTATTTCATTACATGAACTACATTTCCAGGAGGAGATCCTTTCATGGACCCCAGCAACTCCTCATCCATCAAGCTGTATGAAGCTCTCAAATATTTCATTCTGCAGACAACTAGTAGTGATCCACAAAACTAGGGAACCACTTTTCTGTAGGACAGGCAACTGGAAAACACACTCTGTAATAGTGTTGATTAGTAGTTATGGGAAGAAGGCTTGCAGGGGCAGTGCTGCATAATTCTGTGCTCCCAGCCACAGAATTTGAGTTTAATATTTTGTATAAGACATGGGGTTTTGTTAGACTGCATTATCTTTCAATAATAAAAAAAAAAATCACCATTTGTCACCTCTTTTCCAATATCACCATTGTAAATGACCAGACTTTCCTAGAACTTTGACTTGCAATGAGTTTAAGATGGAAGATAAGATTTAGTCTGAAAAGGGGACAGTTTCAATCAGACATTTCAATTGCTGCAAATTATCACAGAAATCATTAACATCTACATTTTCAATTGGCAAATCCTTTCATTTTATGGAGTGACCAGAGTTTCATTAGATGATCTGCAGGTGTCCAGTACCAAACTCCAGATCACTACTAGGCACTTACATAGAGCTTTGCATTTTCAATGTGCTTCACTAACACCAGGTTAAATAACTTGTTAAAGTCACCTAAGAGGCCTAATTCAGCACATACCACTAATTACTGGAATACTGGTTTTCTGCAGGCTATCTTTAGAGAGATGTCTATATGAACCTTTCTTTCAAAATGATGCTTTGTATTAAACAATATAGTATTAGTGCAACATGGTACTGTACTACTGATCCCAGTTTTATACACCAGTTAAGGCCCTTGCTACTCGTCTAGTAGCAGCTGGAAACTTTTCAGTGTCAACATGCTAAGCTCCTAGAATAGGGGGTGTCTCCTATACCAATTTACTACAGTGGTATGCAACCTGTGGTCCTTGAGGGCAACTCTACTAAGAAAATTTCTGTTAAAATACAAATTGAAAATCTGTTCTCTAGGAAGACCTTCCAGAACAGAAGTGTTTGAACAAAACCCACCACTTCAGGAATCAGTAGTAGGCTCCACCCCCAACTGCTGAAATACAAAGGCAGAAAACCACTCTGGTAGTATATCCCCCATACATACAGAGATAATTTTAATAAAATATGTAAAGTCCCACAAGTCTACAGTGAGAAACAAAATCAAGACATTCCTAGTACTCCAAACTGTATAACAATTATACTTTCTAACAACTGTCACACTAAAACCACCTGAAGATAAAACCACAACAAAATCAAATCGATAGGCAAGGAAGATCCCCAGGTACCCTTGGTTTGCAAATAAGTCAAAAGGATTTCCCTACTTGACATCTTTTTTCATTCGTTAAACATGATTTCTCCATTTTCCTTTCTCCCTTGCTCCACACAAGCCAACATTCCAATGGGTTATTTATTTCCTTGTTTATCAACATTGATTATTGGTATCAATTGTGTCTAAATAATTCTTGGGATGGGGTTAACCAGTGGAGGTTTCTTAAATAGGCTTTATTTGCTATTTTTGGAATCTGATAGAGCAGCTTAAATTCAGCCCTGGAGTAAGTAGGTGCTGTTGTGACAATTAGGCCTACAAATTTACCCATAATGTGAGCTCAATGGTAAAAAGTATGTATACATTAATAAAATGTTAAAGTAATCTGTAACAACAAAGGTTGATGGATAAAAGTCCAAATGGAAGACCGAATAACTGAATTAGTCTAAATAAAAAGACCAAGTTGATATGACTCAAGGACCGTTAAAATTAAACTTGTTAAAAACAGGAGATGTGGAGCCAGAAGTTAATAAACCAAGATTGGTATGTCGAATATTAGGCCCAATTGGTGGACAAAATAATGAGGGGATGGGCTATTCCCTTTTTGGGTCCTTAAAAGAAAGATTTTGTGGAGAAAGTATGAAAACAAAAAGGACATATGGAGAGAACAGATAGAGGCTACTGGGGCAAGTGTCAATATCATGGTTGCCAAACCCCAGTTTCCTGGGACCCTCAGCCTTCATCATTTTGATCCTGAGAGGTGTCCTGACAAGAACAGGCTAGAGAGAGAAGCCCAGATGACATCGCCACCCCTACCATCTCCAGCTGAATCCCAAACATCACCTGGGATGATAGTTATTACCATCTTTGATACCATGTAAGAGACTGTCAAACAAGGGGGCTTTTCCTTCTAAGCCTGGACTTTAAAAAACAACAGCTGCAACACCATCTCCAGCCCATCTCAACTAACTACTTCTCTTTTCCCCAAAACGACAGTTATTACCATCTTTTGATACCATCTAACATGGGTTTCTCCTTTTAAAAACACTCTCCTAAAGGGAAAGGGAACAAAATATACTGTTACAACGAAAGCCTTATTTAATACTTTGCATTTCAAAGGTTTTAATTATTTTTCATTCTTTTCTGTATCTTTAATAAAAGGTTAAAAAGATTTTTAATTATGTGCTTGCCATGGTGCTAAGCAGGCTGAGATCTCTGTATATCAAGCTCCAGGCCTTGCATAACTCTGTTTAATATTAGACCATGACTGGGTTATGTCACCACCTTTAGACCATTTATTCCATCTAAATTAATACAACAGTGCCACTCTATTGGCTTCCAAGGAGTGGTGCCCTTTTATGGCAGGGCTGAATATGGTCCACTATCCTCTCTTCTAATCACTGTAAGTTAACTCTGAGCAATCCTTTTTGCCTACCCTCTTTCAGATGTCATCAGCTTCCTCTAGGTTTAATTTAACTTGTGTTCCATTTGGTGGTGGCTCCTGCAGTAAGACAAAGATACCAGCTCATACATTAAAAGGGGGGAGGGGGAAGAAAGTAGTTTAGATTTCAGAGGCCGTCTCACCAAGTTATAACTTTAAAGCATGTCAAATATAGGGATTAAACCAGTGGTGCACAAACTGGGGGGGTGCCAGAGGTTTGGAAGGGGGGAGGGGAAGAGGAGT